AATCTATATATTATCTAATATTCTCTAAAGTAAACTCTACTGAAAGAGTTGATTCTTTCTCAATACTAGAAACAATATTCTAAATATTTATAATAACAAGGATTAGTTTATATACTAAATGAAAATCGGAATAATTGTCTTTATTAAAAATTGAAATTATACTCTATTTTGATAAATATATCGATTTATTGCTTTTTTCTATTATTTTATTGATTCGTATAAAATATAATATAATTAGGGTTATAATCTATAAGAAATAGAAATATAGTAATTAATTTGTATAATATTATTTATTAATAGTAGTATTATACAATTAAGGATAGTAAACTATAAAGATGAGGTTATCCCTAGCATAGGCCTTAGTGCCATAGCTGACTCAGCAACCCTTTTCTAACAATAATATATATCTCCTCTTCGCCGCCTTCCTTATCTATTTACCCTTACTCTCATGATCTTTGACCAATCATCATTTAGCCTGATCTAGTCCTTGTCAATGATCAGCCCCACCTTTTTGTTTCATTCCCCGCCACTAATCTATATTCAGATTTCCGAGCTTGGACACCCTGGCCATTTTCTCTTGTTTCAGGTTTCTCGCTTACATCCCACATTCTTGCATCTTAGCCTTCTTAGCCATCTTAGGTAACTCATCCGCTTCTTGTCTCTAACACTTCACTTCATACCTCCTCACCTCACTCACATCTTACCTTACTCATACCTCACATGAATAACTTCTTTAAAAATATTACCCATACTTCGGCCTATTACATTCATCTTATACGACTTCACTATACACTTGTTTCATTCCAAATAGCCATTGCAAAAGAAACTATAAATACATCGCAATATCCCACTTTATTCTTGTTGATACCGCTCTATCCGTAGCTTCTTTCATTCAATCAATTTACCCCTCCTACAATCCAACAAGCCACAACCCAAAGCATCAACCTCAACAACCTCAACCATGGATCGCCCCAAGAAACCATCCGCTCTCTCTGCCACTCCAGGTCTTGCACCCCACGCTCAAATAAACACTACTCATTCCAATTCCCGCGTCTCTGCCGTCCTCCCCACCGGGGAATCCATCGAGATCCTTCTCTATGGCGCCACAGTCTTGAGCTGGAAAGATGCTGCCGGAACCGAGAGACTCTGGCTTAGCGAAAAAGCTGTACTTGATGGCACAAAAGCTGTGCGCGGTGGTATCCCTCTAGTGTTCCCGGTATTCGGAAAAGTCGAGGGCGAGGAAGGTAAAGCGAAGGGTGTCGATACATTACCCCAACACGGTTTCGCGCGCAATTGCAGATGGGAGTTTTTGGGAAAGAGTACAAGTGAAAGTAATAGCATCAAGGGACGGGAGGGTGGTGATAGTAGTGTGAAGTTGGATTTTGGACTGAGTGCGAGTAATTTACCGGAAGAGACGCGGAAGTTGTGGGGTGGTGAGTTCGGATTGATTTACAGTGTTACGCTTGGTAGAGAGGGTCTCGGAACGAGTATGGTGGTCAGAAATGAGGGTACCCAGGCTTGGGAATTTCAGATCTTGATGCACACTTATTTGAAGATCCAGGTATGTTTTTCTACACTCATGTGTTCGCCTCGTAAAGGAACTATGCTAATGTGCAATCAATAACAGGATATCTCCCAAATCTTCATCACTGGTCTCGAGAATGCCACGTACATCGACAAACTCACCGAACCCATCTCCACAAATACCGCTCCGACCAATCCTCTCACCATCTCGGCCAAAACCGATCGCGTGTACACTCCAGCCGGTGGCCCATCCACAGAGATAATTGTGACCGAAGGTGGAAAAAAGAAATTCACAGTCGCCAGAGATAACATGAACCAAGTCGTTGTATGGAACCCATGGATCGACGCCAAAGACATGGGAGACTTTGCACCGAAGGATGGATGGAGAACCATGATTTGTGTCGAGGCCGGTGCCGTGAGCGGATGGCAAAAATTGGATGCGGGAGAGACTTGGGAGGGCGGTCAAATTATTACAACGGCTAATTAGCAATTCTTGGGAGTGTTGAATGCGATATCACGGATGTAATATTGTATTGTTTGCGAGCAATATCTGAGAGCAATATTTTGGGGCTGATTTGGGGATTCTCTGTTTGGGGGAGCTGGTGCTGCAACGTTTGACGAAATGAAAATCGAAATGGGAAATTTTTATCGTGTTAGGCAGGTAGAGATTTCATAGCTAGTAGATGAATTGGATAATTTTGGTATTCACAGTATTCATGGTTGTGTTGTATTTTGATCGTGATTGCGATCCTTGTTCTTTTGGCTTGGGTATTACTACAAACAGTACATACACAGTGTGTTATATATTCATCCCAATAAGGAAGTATAATTCTACACTTATCTTTATCCTCATCCTCATCCTTTGACTCAGCTCGGCTCTTTTCGAACAGAACAGAACAGAATGGTGAATTTCGAATAGTTAATTTCGAATAAGTACCGGTAAGTATAGGTGAGGTGGGGGGGGGGATAGGGGGAGGGATGGTGGATGGTGGATGATGTCGATTGATTGATTGATTGATTGTTCGAGTGGATACGGTACTTGATTCATTGGGAGATGTATAGGTGGATAAGATGAATGGTTTATAGGGAGTCAGAGAGTTAGGGGGTTAGGGATAGATATAAGTGAGTAAGTATATAGGTAGATAGAGAGAGGTGAGTAAATAGGTGAGTAAGTAGGTGAGTGAGTAGGTGAGTAAGTGATTAAGTTAAGTTTAAGTGAAGTAAGTGAGTGAGTGAAGCGAGTAAGTAAATGAATAAGTAAGTATTTATTTATAATAATTCAAAAACGAGTGTATAGATATACTCGTAGTGTAATATACTAAAGGGAGTGAGGGAGTTATACGAGTATGAGATGAGATGTAATCGGCTACGATGGAGTGTATTCGAGTATAAGGATTATAATATATAAAATAATAGTGTGAGGGATCACAAGCAGGGAATAGGCCGGATAGTATCAGTACTACGGTTAGGGTATAGTTTGTACAGAACTGAACTCATACCACTGCCATGGTGATATGAGGGTAGTTTTTTATAGATTTCAATATGAACTAACTAATAAAGAACAAAGGATATAAAAGGATACAGAGTATCCTTTCATATGCACGCTTTTCCGGCTAGTCCCCGGAAAGGGATTAGTCTCTACGCGGTGACAAATAGAATGAATTATATTATAATCTAGTTCTTATAAAGAAAAGCGAAAGCAGAAATCTAAAAGATTCGAGAAAAGTAAGTAGTTCGAGATCTATTCAAGTTATTCTTTTCATTTTTTAGAAAGTAGATTTTACGAATAGAAAATCCTATTTATCTCGGAAAATACCTATACTAATAGTATTTATTATCGATTTTTAGTATTAATTAGTATTATAGTTAATATAAGTATCTATCTAGTACTATATTGTTATCGCTAGAATAAGAGATAGAGGAGTATTTTTGAGATAATCTTATAAACAATATTAGACTAGCCTCTCAAAAAAAAATAAAGAAATTGATTCACTTTTAATTCACTTCTCTTACTACTTACTCACTTACTCCCTCGCTCACTTATCAAGTTTTAATCATAATTACAATTAGATATTACCATCGGTTACAAACAACCGTGACCCAAATACTCGAGTATTTGGGTTATTATTAACTACCTACTAATAGTACAATACACATTCACTGTTTTTATCCGAAGAATAGTCAGGGGTACTATGTGTATACTCGTATAGCCTTCCAGTATCTATTTCCCGCTAGATGACTATTTACTAGTGAATGTGAATATGAAATCAATTCCAGTGGTGAGTCTCAAGGAGAAAGTAAAATAAAGGGTCTGTCATTCACAACTCCAAAAGCTAATCGCTTCAATCTAGCCACCCGCAATCTTCTACGCAATCTAGTCTAATTCAATAGTCTAATTGTCGTCATCATCGATATTCTTACAGATCAACTACAACATCAACAGTCCCTTCACCCTTTAATCGTTCAACTTCCATCCAGCCTCCTTCTTCAACACCCACAATCAAACCATCTACACAGCATCTCCTCCATTTGAAACCTTCCCCAGATTCTTCGAAATCTATTCTGAGTTTCTCGATACTCTCATATCCTACCTCACCCTTCTGACCATCTTCACCCCAATGCATGCCGATATGACTTCCTTCTTTGTAGGCTTCTTCCATAACCTTCATTGTTTGCTTACCAGTTGCAGCCCCGAAATGTACGACCCGTAATTGACCATCGAGAGGCTTACTGGCGGGAGATATTGTGAAAGTTCGCTCGAGTTTGGAGACCAATGAGGAGAGAATATACCCATGTTCTTTTCTTGGTATAAGTTCTTCCGTACCATCAGATCTCATCAGAGTGACAGAAGCCCTATAAGCATGTGGTAGAGCTCCGTCCTGTGGGAAAAGCAAATCGCCAGCTACCAGGTGGAATCTCTTGTCTCCATGTTTTCGATATTCGACGGTATCGCTGTCGGCAACAAGGGTAGCATGGAGACCATAACTGGCGACGACTGCCCCGTAGACAATATTGTTTGTGAGCGGTGTCTCCGTTCGACCTTCATTCGTTATAGTTCGTGCCCCAGAAGAGAATTTCACACTAAAGATTGGAAGTGGCAAAGGTGTACCGTGAAGTAGTGTCCTTAAACCTTGTATATATATTGAAGAGATTGGCGAGGGTCGGTGCAAAGAATGGAAGAGGGCATTGCCCGTGCCAAGGGGTAGTTGAGATAGTGTTGGTTTGACGTATAAACTGTCACGTAGACTGTCAGTAGTGTACCGGTATAGCATCGATGAGATATGCGGAGAAGCGAAGCCCACCTTGATCTTTCTCCACTTTCAAGCAATCCATTTATTGTATCCACCATCCCACCATCACCACTTAACATCAATATCGATTGTTTTGATCCCTTATTGGCACCATCTAGTAGTATTGAACTTGCAAATTCTTTCACCGAATCTGCGTTGTCGGTCTTGATCAAGGTGTAGCTTGATTCCGGTAAACCGATAGAGTTGAGAATCCGGAGTAGTACTGCATCGTAAAAGGCTGGTGACAACCCAGTCCCGGACAATGTCGATATCAAAACATATATTTGAGTTTCTGCGGAACGAAGGTATGTTGGCAAACTCCTCACAAGATAACTTTCAAGACACTCCTGGGGAAGGTTGGTGGCAGATATTGTCTTTAACTCAAAGGGGAACGTTTCTACCCCTCCATTGATCGGTGACAGGCTAAAGATTGTGTAACCTAAAGCACCATTTGATCCCTCATTCTCAGTAACGCAAATCACATCCTCTCCTTTGATTTTCCCGCCCGACAATCCGCCATCGAGTCCTACAGCGCCGGACCATGTAAGATCCCCGTCCCGATAAGAGAAATGAACATGAACTTCTGCGAAATAAGCATAAGTCGTAGCACTGCTATGAGTAAATTCCGTATCGTTGTCAGAACTGTGGGCAGCGTCAGAGCCAGAGGAAGGTATAGAAGTTGTCATATCGAGAATATCGAGAAGACAATGATATGAACCTGAACGTTGTTATGAAGTGAAATGACATGATGATGGAAGTGTGAGCAATCGCGATTAAGAATTGAACATGAACATGGGGGTGTATGATTGTCGCGATAAGTAGATGGTGTGCTCGCTCGGCTTACTATTTTTTTTTGGTGGGGAAAGGCTGCAAGAATCAGCTTATGTAATTCCGTAATTTCTATCCAAACCACGACCACAAGAAGATTATCATAAAGCTCGAATCATGAACCGTGATTCCGTAGAATCTGTCTTGCTGCCAAGTAAGTCGATTGATTAATGGTTGCTTGATGTACAATGATTATTCCTTCACTTTGTGGGCTCGAGCCAATTTCGTCTACGAACCATACATTTCTTACCTCCCTGTCACGCTCGAAGCTTAGATGAAGATGAAGGATGAACGATAGCACATAGAGCCTCCGTTTGAAAATACGGTGGAATCGTTCTTTGGGTCCTACCTGACGAGAATTGTTGAGCTCAGACTTTAATTGCTAGGTCTTGAACCATTTAGCTTTTTGTTTCTACTTCTCCTTCTCCTTCTTCTTCCTCGTCTCGCAGAGAATTCTGACAGCAAACTATTATAATTCGTGGGCTGATTATATAATTTCATACTGTCCTATTTTTTGAGCGTGATCAGATATTTTACTATACCAAGATTATATACATATTCCTATAGCCAGTTAGGCCCTTAGGATGAATGAAAGTGGGTCAACTCTAGTGAGCATTTAGGTGGGCTTTTTGAAAAAGTAATAGAGGGGCCATCTACGATTATATAAGAGGCGTTTTTGATATTCTTCTTTCGGAGTTATATATATTCTATTTGAGATTACGTATATTTAAGATTATATATACTTTATATATATATTATATTATAATAGAGAATATATTAGTATAAAATATAAATACGCTTTTATTATCTATAGATATATATATATATATATATATTTTTATAAGAATCTTTAAGTCTTTTAAAGAATTCTATATTTGTTTATTAATTTCTATATTAAAATTCATTTATTTATTTATTTAAATAGTTAATTCTAAATTCTTCTAAATTTTATATATAATTAAAGAACTTTAATATCTATAAATAATATAAACTTATTTTATTTGTAACAGAATAGACGGCTCTCTTCCGCCCACTAGCTTATACTATATATATAATATAATATAATAACTCTTTTAGATCTTTCTTTTATAGTTTAAAGCTCTAACTCTATAGCTCTAGACCTAGACATTGTATAATGCTTATCTCTAGAACTCTTTTACTCTTCTGGGCCTAACTCTTATAGCTTCCAAATACCTATATATATAATCCTTCTTTTAGCATTTT